TCCGCGCTCCTCCTGCTGGCCGCCGTCCGCCTCCTACACGGGCTTATGAGAATGCCGGCCACGGCAGGGGGGGAGGGGGAGGGGCAGCAGCGCAGCGCCAGGCAGCGACCGGCCAGGCCAGCCGGTGCATGGGCGGGGCGCGGAGGGCGCGGCGGGCCGGGGCGACGCACCAACATGGCTACAAGCCAGGGGCCAGGGGCGAGGCGAGGAGAAGCTCCATCGAGCCGGCCGGCGGGGCGGGCGACGATGATGGGGGCTCTGGAAGCGCGCGTCTAGGACGGACAGGTGATGCGGGTGATCCGTCGCCAGACACCCCGCCCGCTCCGCCCCCAGCACGCGCCCTTGCACCTGCCGCCTTGTTCCGGACCGGCGGGCGGCGCCACCTTCCATGCGCCGCACGTTGTGTGCCGAGCGCGCCGACATGTCGGGCAAATGTTGACTTACAGTTATCACACACTATACAGAATCGGGTGGGAGAGAGGAAGAGGTATGGAAGATTGGGGCGAGCGAGAGAAGGGAGGAGAGAGACGGCGAGATGAGATTGGAATGCTTGCCGTGCGACGGCGCGCCTGCCGAGTCAACACGCGTCAAGCAAGGCGTCAACAGGGGCCAGCCAGGAGCGGCGGCGGGGCGTCGAGACTGTCAAGCGTTGTAGTAGCGCAACGGTAGCGACGCCAACTGCCAAAACTGTAAACATGGCCAGGCTCGGTCTGACACAGCGTGTACAATGATGTGGTCATTGTCAAGCGCCCCGCCCCCCTCCCCCCTCGCTCTCTCTCTCTCTCTCCTCGAAAGCGCGACGAGCAGAGAACGCACACAGGGAAATGGAAAGTGAAGGTCGAGGCCGGATTAGCGAGCAGAGATTGGCGGAGGAGAGGACACGACGTCCATCAGTATTCCAGCGAGCGAGTCCTGGGCGTGTTTGTGTTTCTCCTCACCTCCGACTCGCCACCACCACCGGGTACCGGCCGAATGGAATATTTTTTTCCAGACTGGTAGAGCATTTGTTGCTGAGCTTAACTTGAACTTGAAATTAAACTTTAACTTTAGATGCTCAGCTCTGTCAGGAAGCGCAAGGGGAGACCGCCCGGAAGACGGCGTGAAGTGAGGCGCCTGGCGTGAGACGTGGGATGTGAGGTGGACAGGCAGGCCAACCAAAATCGCGAAAATATTTTAATTTTAGCGCGCCGCAGGCCAAGGTAGACGCACATTTAGCTCAGCTTCACACGGTTTTAACGTGCGTCTACCTTGTTTAGTGTGTTTTAAAGGCCCCCTGCTACTACACTCAAGTGTGGCTGGTAGTGAAAATTCTTAGTTCTATACTACCATAAGCCGTGCAGGGAGACCAGATGTGCCTGCGAATACAATGTTCGGTGTTGAAGCGGTCCGATTACACGGCGCTGTCGCTCGCCCGCCCGCCCGCCCGGTACCCAGGTCCGAAGTGAGCGCCGGCCGCCGGCCACTCGAACTGCACACGAGACGGGCGTATCTCCACGGCCTTGCCCAAGGCCCCTCGCGCTTCTTCCGAAAAACCCACACCCACTCGAGCGCTGAATGGTCTCCGGGCCGGCACAGTCTTAGCGCCAAGCCACACATGATGCCACCGTCTGTGACAGTCTGTGACAGCAGACGCGGCTCGGTGACAGTGTGACGGTGGTGCAGTGGCCCGCCACCGGTGCCAGCTGATCCCGATGTAGATCCCGGCGGCCCGCCCGGTGACGGTGATAAGTGGAACAATGAGTCTAAATCACGAGGCTCGGCGCCTGATTCAGGGCGGCGCCTGTCTGAGTACTCACCAGGCCTGCAGAGCCTGCTCCAGTGGTAGGGGTTGCAGCAGATGGTGGACGGGCTGCTCCCGGCGCTGCACATGGGGAGCGGTCTCAGCTCGGAGCCCTGCTGCAGCTCGGGCCACCTCCAGATCTGGCAGCAGAGCAGGTGCGGCTGCGAGGAGGCGGCCTCCCTGGAGGGGGCGTCCCTCTCCAGGACGACACAGCTCGTCAGGCTGGAGCCGCGAGACTCGACGGCCTGCAGCAGCGTCTCCATCTGGGGCTCCTTGAGGCGCTTGAGGAAGGTGTTGCGCAGCACGGCGTGCTTGCTGAGGGTGGCGGCCGCGGCGCCGGCGAGCCCCAGGCCCTCATCTCGCTGCTCGGGCCGGTCGGGCCGCTGCAGCACGCGGGCATTCCACAGACGCTTAGCGAGCGTGTTCCTCCGATTCCGAAACATGAACATGAAACACGACTCGGTGGGGCATTTGGCGTTGTCGGAGCAGGGGCAGTTGGCACGGGCCAGGAGCCAGCCGCCAGGGCGGCCCAAGGCCTTCGCCTTCGCTCCCTTGGGCCCGAGGGGCCCTCCGAGCGGCCCTCCGAGGGGGCCGAGCCCCTTGACCAGCCGGCGGCCGGGGCCGGGGCCGGCCGCGCCTTGGGCCGAGGCCGAGGCGGCCGAGCCCGGGCAGGCCACTAGTGCGGCGCTGTTGCCGACGCAGCAGCTGTGCGCGGCGGCGGCCGCAGCGTTGCCGACGTGTAACCCGCTCGGAACCTTCACCTTGAGGCGGCTCCGCACGCTGCGCAGGCTGCGGCTCCTGCGGCTCCACCACACGGTGGTCCACGGGCCGGGCCTGAGCCGGCTCCTCCTCCTGGACACTGAGGCCCTCGCGGTCGCGACGTGCAGCGTGATCTGCGCGGCCTCGCGGCAGACAGGGGCACGTCTCATTCGGAGCGCATGCTGTCCACGACGGGCAGAGTCGTCGTCGTCGTCGGCGTCGTGGTCGTCGGGGACGTCACAAACACTGTAATCCTGGGCTGGCTCGCACTGTGGTCACACACGCATACACACACACGCGGCGTCGCGACAGGTGGGAGGACGTCGTCGGCGGCGTGCTCGCGGTCGCTCTCCCTCTCTCCCTTTCTCGGGTTTCGTTTCGCGGGGCCCGTACTTGGCCCGGTCAGTCGGTCGGTACACTGCTTGCGTTCGAAGCGCAACTATTTTGGCGCCACCCGTGCGGCGCCCGCTAGCGCCCGCTGCGCTCGGCGCGGCAGCTCCTCGCTCTCTCTCACTCACACACACGCACACCACACGTCCGCCGCCTAGCCAGGTCGTTCAGCAACTGAACCGCCGGCCGACGACGGGGACGGGACGGCTCGCTCCGCAGCGCGCCCGCCCGGCCCGGCCCGCCCGGCGCTCCCCGGCTGGCATGGCGCTCACGGCCCCGCGGCCAGGACGAGCCGAGCAGGGCCGGCCGAGCGCAGCCGACGCGCGCGCCCGGGGACCGAGCCGAGCCGAGGCGGGCCGGCTCGAGCGCCGGATGGGATGGGTTGTGGCGGTGGTGGCGGCGGTGGTGGCGGCGCTCGGCGGACCGGGCGCGCGCAACTTGGAGACTTTGCCGCCAGGGGCGCCACTGTCCCATTGTGCAGCCATGTGACTCCCCAGGGCTGCGCCGCTGCGCCGCCGTGCAGCAAGGCGAATGCACTCGGGGCTCTCTCCTCTCTCTCTCCCTCTCCTCCTCCCCCTCCCCCGCGCGGCGGCGCGGTGGACGCGCCGGCGCTTGTAGGAGTGACGGAGACGGAGAGCACCCCGTTCGGACGGCGCTGGGGCTGGCGCTCCCGGGCGGATGCATTGTGGCGCCATGGAGAGAGAAGAGTGCGTCGGCCCCACCGATTTCGTAGGGGCATCATTTATACGTCGAGGAGACTTGGCCTGGCGGTCAGAGCGGCACCGGAAAACGATCAGCAAACGGCCAGTGCCAGTGGGAAACTTAACATTCAAAATGTTAAGCACAGAAACAAATGGTCAAACACAAGATGAATTTTAAACAAAAATACAGATCGTTAGCCACGCGAGCAGGTCAAGTATTTCTGGTCCGACTTACTACACACACATTTTATCGTATTTTATACCGTCTCAATCCAGAGTCTTCCCTGGTTTCTTAAATCCCTAATTCAAAAGAAAAGGTTACGGCCTTGAGAGCCATACGTTATGGTATAAAACATTTTATTAACGAATAAAAAGTCTCGGAAAGGTGGACAAAGAACCGCACGCGCGCCGCCGCCACGAGAGTGGAGCGGCAGGCGGCAGGTGTGCACCCCCCCCCCTTTTCCTGACTGCTCCGCCCCACGTCCCTTCCCCCAGCAACCGGGTCCGTCCTCCCGGGGCCATTCAACACCTCGCCTGTATTTTAAAAGGCGACAGAGAGAAGCAGGACGGCTCTGGCACGGGGTCGTTGAGCTGACCGCTCCTAGTTATGGCCGCGTTTGGTTCGCACGCGGCGGGCGCCGCCGTGTCCCCGTCCCGCCATTCATCGCCGCGACCAAGCGGGGCGCCGAGGGGGCGCCGCCCACGCCCGCAGAGGGGGAGAGGGGACGACCGGCGGAGGAAATTGGGAACCATCCTCCTGGCGGCGTCCGGTCCTCCGGGGCCGGCGGCGACGGGTATCCGTATTGCCCTGAGCTGGGGGAGGACGCACGGCGACGGTGTGAGGGCGTCCCTCGTTGTAGGAGTCCGACAGAGACAGAGGACGCGGCACACGCTGGATAGAGCGGTCCGTGCTGGGCTGGCGGGCCCGACCATGGCCCGGCGCCAGCAGCGCCCGCTAGCGCCCCGCGCCCCGTGCCTAGTGGGGGCCTTGGGGTCGGGCCGGGCGGGCGGGGCGCGGCG